ACTCCCTTCAAAGTAAATGTGCAAGACATGCGGTGGGCTTAGTGTTTTTTGCCAAACATCATTAATAATGCAAACAGAAAGGGGACATGCTTAGAAAATATTTGTGTTGATATCTATATCTAGACCACAGCGACCCTTTTCTGGAGATTCCTACATCCAGTAACATGGTGGTGTACCCAATTTCCATAGTTTACTTATCCTTTTGTATCAGGAGACAGCAGATTAGGGTCTGAGTCTATATAAGGAATTCAATCTGGAAGCTGAATTGTAGAAGCAGTCTGTCAATTGATATCCAAAATTGCATAGACAATATTATTATTATTATTATTATTATTAGACAGGATTTATATAGAGCCAACAGTTTGCTCAGCACTTTACAATATAACGGGAGATGATACAGCAACAATACAGTTCAATACAACAGGATTAGGAGGGCCTGATCCTGGGAGTTTACAATCTAAGAGACAATACTGTATATCAGGGCTTGCTCATATTGGCTTGCATTTTGCTACATTATTTGATTGCAAAAGAAATGGACAGGTTGTGACCTGAATCCTCAAAACCAGAGGATTATGCTCTGGGCTACCTGTCCTACCTCCTGTGCCTGCCTGTCCTACCTTCCACACCTCCCTATCAGCCACTTAAAGTGGAACTAAATGTTTTGGGTTTTTTATTTTTTTCATTTTGGATGGTGTAGGCCAGCAATGGGCAAACTACGGCCCGCGGGCCATATATGGCCTGGCGGTCCCTTTAATCCGGCCCACGGAGCGTGCTAAAAAAAAACACAGCCAGGGCAGGCAAACATTGGCTGTCAGGATGTGTGTAGGCGGGGCAGCGTGACGAACGTGAGGGGAGCTAGGCTCCTCTCACAGTCCGCCCTGAAGACCGGACGGCGTGGGAACACGGCGAGAGGAACGCGCGGAGCAAAGGTAAGTGAATTGACACAGGGGGGACTTGGCTTACTACTTGGGGGGGAATAGTACTGTGGGGATGAAATACTATATGAGGGATGAATTAATATGGGGGATGAATTAATATGGGGAATGAATTATGGGGGGGATATATGGGGGATGAATTACTATGGGGGATGAATTACTATATGGGGGATGAATTACTATATGGGGGATGAATTACTATAGGGGGGATGAATTACTATGGGGGATGAATTATTATAGAGGGGATTAATTACTATGGGGGATGAATTACTATGGGGGATGAATTACTATATGGGGGATTAATTACTATGGGGGATGAATTACTATGGGGGATGAATTACTATATGGGGGATGAATTACTATGGGGGATGAATTACTATGGGGGATGAATTACTATATGGGGGATGAATTACTATGGGGGATGAATTACTATGGGGGATGAATTACTATATGGGGGAAGAATTAATATGGGGGATGAATTAATATGGGGAATGAATTACTATAGGGGGGATGAATTACTGAATAGGGGGGATGAATTACTATGGGGGATGGTACATTCATCTACTCTTGGTCCGGCCCCCGGGTCCAATATATGAACCCATTGCGGCCCTCAAGTCAAAAAGTTTGCCCACCCCTGGTGTAGGCCCTGGTTTTGCCATCTGTGTCCCAGTCGGGAGATTTTCCTTCACTTCCTGTCCAATAGCCACAACAGGAAGAGGAAAACCTTGAATGCCACTGGAACTAGTGTCCCCATTGGAACATATTCCTGTTCTAGTGGCAACCTAAAATTTGGGATTTTTTTTTTACTTTCATTTTAATGTGATAATGGTCAAAAAAGATAAATAGAGAGTGAGAATCTCCCGAACAGGGACACAGACAGCAGTAAAAACCTGACAGGGGTTCTAATCCATCTCCATTCTATCCCCTATGCTTGTCTGACCTAAATCCAATAGAACACCTTTGGGATATCATGTTTTGATCCATCCGTCGCCGCCAGGTTGCACCTCAGACTGTCCAGGAGCTCAGTGATGCCCTGGTCCAGATCTGGGAGGAAATACCCCAGGACACCATCCGTTATCTCAGTAGGAGCATGCCCCAATGTTGTCAGGCATACATACAAGCATGTGGGGGCCATACAAACTACTGAGTACCATTTTGAATTTCTGCAATGAAATTTCAGCAAAATGGACTAGCCTGCTGCATCATTTTTCACTTTGATTTTCGGGGTGACTTTGAATTCAGTCCTCTGTAGGTTGATAATTTTCATTTCCATCAAATGATGGGGCATCCTTACATTCCTAACACATTACCCTGTCCATATCAGTATATATATCCAGCATGATATTTTTCCCCATTGAGATCTGTGTTTTCAAAGTGTTCCTTTAATTTTTTTGAGCTGATATCAGTCCTGCTGATGGGTTAAGGACCTTCTACAGCCCTGTCCAGCTCTCCTAGAGTAACTGCCTGTCTCCTGGAATCTCCTCCATGCTCTTGAGACTGGACCGCCTGCGCAACCTCGGTAGGGTCCTCATGCTAGCAGTAGTGACGCTGACCCTAGCCAATTGCAAAACTAGTGAAAAACAGTCAGAAAAGGTGAGTACGGATAAAACTGTCATTGGCCTCTACCTGTAAAAACCATTCCTGTTTTGGGGGTCCTCTCATTATTGCCCATCTCTTATATTAATTTAATTAACACCAAAGCAGCTGAAACTGATTAACAACCCCCTTTGCTACTTAGTTGACCAGATCAATATCCCAGGAGTTTAACGACTTGATGCTATACTCTGATTAAAAAGTGTTCCTTTAATTTTTTTGAACAGTATATATATATATATATATATAATTATTTTTTTTTTTTTTACAAAACCTGCAAAGCCTAATGAAAAAAATTGCCCAGTCAGGTACAAAGGACAGGTGGAAGTGACTGGCCAGAGTGCGAACATCCAAACTTGCCAGTTGAGTACTTTGTGTTTTGAGGATTCTGGAAACAACCCTAGAAGTTACAGTTTTACATGACTGAAAGCACCACAGGTACACTTTCATCTACTAGATTTTCACAGATGGAAAAAAGTAGAATTCAGTACAACAAATAGAAAAAAATATTCTAGATAAACAGGCCATAAATAGCAATTCTATATGAAAAAGTGCCAGAGAGGAGACATGATAGCCAGCTATGTAGTTATAGTCAATGAAAATCACTCTGTAATTGTGTAGACTTATAATTTATTCCATTAACTATTGACAGACTCCTGGCAGATGCTGGAGCGTGGTGACATAATTAAAATAAATACATTTATTTTTCCTCCACGGCATGCCCTTCCTGAAAGACATGATGCAGAATTTGAATATATAGGCTGCATTCGCCTGTCTTCTATATTAATTTTCCCCCATTTATACCATCATTAAATACAAGAGTCAGTTGCCTCAGCAACATGTCAGAACCATTTAGCAAACATCGATTGCACAAAGAGTTCATGTCAGTCACTCCTATTCTCTTTCTTCTCTTGTTTAAGCACTTGGTACTGGCACATTTAGAGACTGATGGGAAATTTCAGCAGATATGTAGTTGGTACAGGAAGTTTTAAATTGGGTCTCCAGTTTGTTTCTGGAGTTATGTTGACCCTTCTCAAATATACCATTAGAAAAAAAATAATTGCAGGCAACATATTGTGCCGGTACATTTCCTAAAGTGAACCTGTCAGATTCGTAACCATTTATAAACTACAATAAGAGCCCGTTTTGAAAAGGATATGTAGGTTTCTGTGCTGAGACCCAGGTGGGTGCAGTATGATGTTTTAGAGGTTAATTTTGTATTAAGGATTGCAATAAAGGAAGCTTTTCCTAAAAAGAAAAATGGGCACTGCCAAGATAGACTTCTTGTTCTGCAAATACTACTTGCCTGGCTGTCATACTGACCCTTTTTCTTTGATATTTGAGTTACTGACCCAGAACAATATTGCTGGACTACTAACTTCTTTACCCGGTCTTTTCTGATCTACATGCTTGGTCTGGATAAATGATTCAAATTATTTAAGCCAGGAACTAAGCATGACAGCCAGGCAATTTGCATTTTTTTTAGGAGGTCAGTAATAGCATACCCCATATTTCCTTTACTGGAAGGGTTAGGGTGATGCACCTGCTTTCCAGCACCTGGCAATGCACAGTAGTGTGTTGCATTGTAATAAAAGAAACATGTCAGCAGGGGCGGACTGACAACTCATGGGGCCCTTGGGCAATAGGGGATCATGGGGCCCCTGTGACCTTGGCCAAACTCAAAAAAGCCTATGAAAAAGGTACCAGGGGCATCTCATGGGGCCCTCTACTGACCCTGGGCCCTCAGGCAATGCTGAGTTTTCAAATGGTCAGTCCGCCCCTGCTTGTCAGATTTTCAGCATGTTACAGTGTGTTGGTAGCCCACTCATTTCAATGGGTTACATTAGTGCAATTCATGTAAAAACACAAAATAACGCATAATGCCTCAAACATTAAATAGGACCTAAAAAGCAGTTCTTGACCTAGACCTAAATCACTGGCCTAGAGCTTGAGGGACTTGCTTTTTAACCACTTGCCTACAGGGCACTTATACTCCCTTAATGCCCAGGCCAATTTTCAGCTTTCAGTGGTGTCGCCCTTTGAATGACAATTGTGCGATCATGCAATGCTGTACCCATATGAAATTTTTAGCATTTTTTTTGAGACAGATAGAGATTTCTTTTGTTTGTATTTAATCACCTCTGGGTTTTTTATTTTTTGCTAAATAAACCAAAAACAACTGAAAATTTTGAAAAAAAAAGTTTTTTCTTAGTTTCTGTTATAAAATTTTGTAAATAAGTGATTTTTTTTTCTCCATCACTGATGTGCGCTAAAGAGGCTGCAGTGGTGAGGATTGATAGGCTGCACTGATGGGCACTGATAGGTGGCACTGATGGGCACTGATGAGGAGGTACTGGTAGGTGGCACTGATGGCCATTGACAGGCATCACTGATGCGCACTTAAAGGCAGCACTCATATATGGCACTGATAGGTGGCACTGACTGGCACTGGCTGCCACTGTTAAGTGGCACTGATAGGCGGCACTGATAGGTGGCACTAATAGGTGGCACTGACTGGCACTGATAGGTGGCACTGAAAGACAGCTCAGATGGGCACTGATATGTGGCATTGATGTGGCACTGGCAGGTGGCATTGATGAGCACTGACAGCTGGCATTGATGGACACTGACAGGTGGCACTTCTGGGGATACACTGATCATCAGGGCACACTGATCATCAGTGCCCTGATGATCAATGTACATGTCCCCTCTGAGTAAAGCAGATTACTGGCTCTCCTCTCGAGATGTCAGCGTGACAGCTCGTGAGGAGAGAAATGCCGATAACTGGCATTTCCTTATTTACATGCGATCAGCTGTGATTGGACACAGCTGATCACATGACAGAGCCGACGTCTTCGGTTTTTTTCCGTTGGTCGGTGATCTGCTGTGTCTGAGGGACACAGTGTGCCACCGATCAACATGCTGCACGACCCCGGAGCCTCGCACATGCGGTTAGAGTGGGAGAGCGTCATATGGGGGTTTATTTACTAAAGCTGGAGAGTCCAAAATCAGACTCCCTTCTGCATAGAAACCAATCAGCTTCTAACCTCAGCTTGTTCAATGAAGCTTTGGCAATGAAACCTGGAAGCTGATTGGTTTCTATGCAGAAGTGAGTCTGATTTTGCACTCTCCAGCTTTAGTAAATAAACCCCATGACATCCTCCCAGAACGAGAGAACCGCCTTGCACCCGTCATTTCCTTATATGGCGGGCAGGAGGCAATTAATCATAAAACTTTTTCAAAGGCATATATTTTATATTTTGCTCTATATCAGGGGTCTCCAAAATTTCTAAACAAAGGGCTAGGTTACTGTCCTTCAGACATTAGGGGGGATTGTGGCCAAGGTGAGCAGAAAATGCCCCAGCATTAGTGGGAGTAGGCAATGGGATTGATTTACTAAAGGCGAATAGACTGTGCACTCTGCAAGTGCACTTGCTCCAGAGCTTAGTAAATGAGGTAAAGCTTCACTTTGCAAAGAATACTCAATCACATGCTAGGAAAATAACAAAAATGTTTGCTTGCACGTGATTGGATGACGGAAGTCAGCAGAGCTTCTGCTCATTTTACTAAGCTCTGGAGCAACTTCACTTTAGTAAATCAACCTCAATGTCTCAGGCTTGGTGGTCAGTGGGAGTAAGTAAATTACATAGCGCCTCTGATCAGTAGGAGGAATAGTGCCACATCATTGGTGTCAGTGGGAGGACTAGTGCTCCATCATTGCTGTCAGTGGGGGGACTAGTGACCCATTATTGGTGTCAATGGAAGAACTAGTCCCCCATCATTGGTGTTAATGAGAGAAATTTGGCCCCAGCATTGGTATCAGTGGAAGCAATAGTACCCCTCTGCTAGTGTCAAGGGCCATATTGTGGCCAGCGGGAGTGGAAAATGCCAGTGGGAGTGGAAAATGGCAATAGCCCCAGTGGGAGCATACAATGTCTTGGGCTTGGTGGTCAGTGGGAGTAGGTTACATAGCACCTGTGGTCAGTAGAAGGAGGAATAATGCCACATCATTGGTGTCAGTGAGATGACTAGTGCCCCATCATCGGTGCCAATAAGAGAACTTGTGCCCCATCATTGGTATCTGTTGAAGGACTAGTGCCCCATTATTGGTGTCAATGGGAGAACTAGTACCCCATCATTGGTGTCAATGGGAGAAATTTGGCCCCATCATTGGTATCAGTGGAAAGAACAGTACTCCTCTGTTAGTGTCAGGGGCCAGATTGTGGCCAGCAGGAGTGGAAAATGCCATAAGGCCAGTGGGACTATACAATGTCTCGGGCTTGGTGGTCACTGGGAGTAAGTATGTTATGTAGCGCCTGTTGTCAGTAGAAGGAGGAATAGTGCCACATCATTGGTGTCAGTGAGAGGACTACTACCCAACTGATGTTGTCAGTGGAAAGAATAGAGTCCTATTTTTTATGTCAGTGGAAGGAATAGTGCTCCATTGTTGGTGTCGGTGGAAGGAATCGTGCTCAATAGTTGTTGTCAGCGGAAAGAATAGAGCCCCACCATTGGTGTCAGTGAAAGGAATAGTACCCCATTGTTGGTGTCAATGAAAGGAATAGATAAAGCCAATATTCCCATTGCACACATTTCTGGAATGGGCTCAGAAGTAACAGGTGCTGCAGCAATACCCTGCTGGAGACTGGAGACATCACAGGCCAGCAAACAAATGTCCCAGCACACCACAGATCATCAAATGTCTTCCAAAAGTTTTATTTAAAAATGATTAAATGATCATAAAGGACAAAGTGCAACTTTTTAGAGCCACGCAGGACCCATTCATCAGGCAGGTCACTGGCAAATGTGTTCATTGGCCAGTGGAAGGAATAGTGCCCCATCATTGGTGACAGTGAGAGGCATAGTGCTCAGTCATTTATATCAGTGTGAGGAATCATGTCCCTTTGTTGGTGTCAATGGATAAGAATGGTGCCTCATCGTTGGAGTCAGTGAGAGGAATAGTGCTCAGTCATTTATGTCAGTGGGAGGAATCATGTACCTTAGTTGATGTCAGTGGAAGGAATAGTGTCCCATATCAGTGCTAGGAATATTACCCCAAGGGTCAGATAAAGGCAAGCAAAGGGTCCCAATTTAGAGATCACTGCTCTATACTGTGGCATGTCAGAAAATACTCATACAGACCTGCTAAGGTAATGGCAGGTCCAGATTAACATGAAGAAGGTTTTTTATTTGTTTAATTTATCCTCATCTGCATACTTCTTCCAGACCAGTGACTCACTAGCCAACCCAGAGGACCTCATACCTCCTTGACCCCCAAGGATTATGTTTTTTTTAATTTTATACATAACTTTTTCGAAAGTTTTCTGGCCGGTCATGTGACACACACTGGGTCCACTTCATCTTCAATCCTCTTCTGGCAGTGGGCACTCCAGGATGATACAGTGAGTAACACTGACATGATGACATGAGCATCAATACACTGAGAATACAGAGCATAGGTGATGCCCTATAGGGGGCAGGATCATGACACCCTGCTCTCTGAATCTGTTTCCTGAATTGAGTGATACTGAGCATATGCTGTCCTATTAACGGTTAGCTGAGAGCTAGCTAACAAAACTTACAGAAGCAGCATTGTGTTTCATTCAAAAACTGAATTTACTTGTTAATAGCTCTGTAAAAACTGCAATACAATTACATAAACTGAAGTTACAATATGCTTGTAAACATGTCTTTCACAAATGTTTACAATGAACACATTTCTTGCAAACAACTACCTATATATCACAATAAATACTTTTAAATGTGATCTAGATATACAGTGGGGATCAAAAGTTTGGGCACCCCAGCTAAAAATTTGTATTAATGTGCATAAAGAAGCCAAGGAAAGATGGAAAAATCTCCAAAAGGCATCAAATTACAGATTAGACATTCTTATAATATGTCAACAAAAGTTAGATTTTATTTCCATCATTTACACTTTCAAAATAACAGAAAACAAAAAATGGCATCTGCAAAAGTTTGGGCACCCTGCAGAGTTAATATCTTGTACTGCCCCCTTTGGCAAGTATCACAGCTTGTAAACGCTTTTTGTAGCCAGCCAAGAGTCTTTCAATTCTTGTTTGAGGTATCTTTGCCCATTCTTCCTTACAAAAGTCTTCCAGTTCTTTGAGATTTCTGGGCTGTCTGTCATGCACTGCTCTTTTAAGGTCTATCCATAGATTTTCAATTATGTTGAGGTCAGGAAATTGTGAAGGCCATGGCAAAACCTTCAGTTTACGCCTCTTGATGTAATCCCCCGTGGATTTCGAGGTGTGTTTAGGATCATTATCCATTTGTAGAAGCCATCCTCTCTTTAACTTCAGCTTTTTCACAGATGGCATCAAGTTACCATCCAAAATTTGCTGAAATTTTATTGAATCCATTTTTCCTTCTACTCGTGAGATGTTCCCTGTGCCACTGGCTGCAACACAACCCCAAAGCATGATTGATCCAACTCCATGCTTAACAGTTGGACAGAGGTTCTTTTTCATTAAATTCTGTGCCCCTTCTTCTCCAAACGTACCTTTGCTCATTCCGGCCAAAAAGTTCAATTTTAACCTCATCGGTCCACAGAACTTGTTTCCAAAATGCATCAGGCTTGTCTATATGTTCATTTGCAAAGTTCAAACAATGATTTTTGTGGTGAGGATGTAGAAGAGGTTTTCTTCTGATGACTCTTCCATGAAGACCATATTTGTACAAGTATCTCTTTATAGTGGAATAGTGTACTACAACTCCAGTGTCTGCCAGATCTTTCTGGAGGGATCGTGCAGTCAAACGTAGGTTTTGAATTGTTTTTTTTCTCACAATCCTGCGAGCTGTTCTGTCTGATATTTTTCTTGGTCTTCCAGATCTTGCTTTAACTTCCACTGTTCCTGATGACTGCCATTTCTTAATTACATTCCGAACAGAGGATATTGACATCTGAAAACGCTTTGCTATCTTCTTATAGCCTTCTCCAGCTTTGTGAGCGTCAACTATTTTCAGTTTCAGTTTTCTAGACAACTGCTTAGAAGAACCCATGGTGCTGATTGTTGGGGCAAGGTCAGATGAGTCTGGGCATTTAAAACCTTTGAGCTTGACATCACCTGGTCTTCCCAGACGATGATTGAGAACAATCCATGACACTGGCAGGTCTCAGCTTTGCAAAGGGGGCAGTGCATGCTATAAATTCTGCAGGGTGCCCAAACTTTTGCAGACGCCATTTTTTTTTTTTCTGTTATTTTGAAAGTGTAAAATGATGGAAATAAAATCTAACTTTTGTTGACATATTATAAGAATGTCTAATCTGTAATTTGATGCCTTTTGGAGATTTTTCCATCTTTCCTTGGCTTCTTTATGCACATTAATACAAATTTTTAGCTGGGGTGCCCAAACTTTCGATCCCCACTGTATACGGGACTTTAACAAACACAAGAAATGAACTTACAGGCATACGTGTATTAAAGGGAGAAAAGATTACCTTCACTGGTGTGTCCTTCTGGAAGCTAAAATGAAAGTGCAGTGGTGGGTGGAAATCTTTATTAACAAGACATTCCCTATTCTTGTTGAAAGGAATAATAAAAACAGGTGCAGTTGCAGTGAACAACCAATAGACTGCTTTGTACTCAACACAATGATGATATACTGTATGTAACAGGACATTATTCAGCATGTAAGACTGAGGACATCTTCTGGTGGGCTTGGGTATTGCAAGTGACAAGTATGGATTGAAGGTGAGTATAGCAGTCACAGTTTTTTTTTTTTTTTTTACATTCTGGGGGGGCATTTAAAAAAACTACCTTGTAATTGAGCATTTGACGGTTTGCCCTGAATATAAAGGACGCAGAGCAAC